TATATATATATATATATATATATATATATATATATATATATATATATATATATATATATATATATATATATATATATATATATATGAGATATATAGAGAAATTTCTTTCGGTTCTCTCCCATCTCGCTTTGTACTCTTTTATGTATCTGATTTTTTAAATATTACATATCGCAATTAGGACATACAGATACATGTATTAGTCTGATTCACATGATGTAGGACACCGTATGATTATCTACCACTCTATTTCGCTCACATCCCTCCTCATCTCAATTCTCTCTCTACTTTAGTGTATCTAATAGTAAAAAGTATATGTAACTAGGTGTATATTTCTCAATATATAATAGGTAAATTTTAATTGATAATAAGATACATAATTATTTGAAAGTGTAGGTAAAATTAGTATATATTATATCAATGTATGTCTAATAAGATAATTTTCTCTTTTTGTAATTGAGAGACAAATCAAATTGTGCAAAAAGATTTTAAATATATATCACTTCCATCTCAATTTAGGGAATGATATTTGATTAAGCATGAATTTATTTATTTTTTTAAAAAGAATAATTTTTGAATTTATTTTGTCTAATCATATGCATAAATCAAGGTATAATGACTTTGATAAGTTGAACCCAATAATCTTCGTCCAAACGCTATTTTATTCCACGAAATATTAAAATCTTAGAATCATAAATTTTAAATATTGTCTTCATCTCCAAACAAGCCTATTTAATATTCATAATCATAATCGTTATATTAAAAGTAAAATAAGAAATTTAAATTTAGATTATTTTTAAAATAGAATAAGTTTTAATAAATCGAAAAAATAAAATGAGCTGCAGAAAGTAGAACAAAATAATACTAATTTATAACTTATCGTAGTAACAAGCAACTCACACAACAAAAGACCCAAGCCTACCAAATTTCACGGATAATATTGGATATTTGAATAGTATCATATAAATTGAGATTAAAAAAAATTAATATATAACAAATTATATCATATAAATTAAGATCGAGAGAATATTAATACATGCAACAATTATGGCCGATGATCTTGATAATGCTCTTCAACTTTTGACTCCCTTTTTGTGTCTGTCTCATAAACAATTTTTTAAAGTCAAAAGTGTTCCTTATAGAATAAAATTTGTTAAACTTAAAAGTTTTGTCCATAAAGCAATAAGGTCAAAAATACCAGACGGCTCATAATCTTAAGATCATTCTTATAAATCACCCGTTTATATAAGGTCAAAAAAAATTAATTCTCATGAGTTTATCCTTTCGAATTCGATAATTTTAGTTTAAACCATGTATTCATAAATTGACATTGATTATCACTATCCTAGAATTTATAATACGTAAAGTTTAAATTCCAAAATTATCATTGAATTTATATTTGATGAAACTAGTTATGACATGAATATCATATTCTTTTATTGAGTTCGAAACCTAATGGGTACAAAATATTAACAAAAATTCTAAAACGGTATATATAAATTTTAAATTTAACCAAAACGGCAAAATCACTGGTAAAGCAGCGATTTTGCTCGCCGAAAAAAGCAAAATCGCTGCACTACCAGCGATTTTGTCATTTTGGTTAAATTTAAAATTTATACACCGTTTTAAAATTTTTATTAACATTTTATACCCATTAAACTCCGGACTCCTCTTTTATTTCATGCATAAATGGTATATAAAAGATTTGAAAAGGCTAGGAAGATGAATTGAATTATCCATAATTCCTTGATTAAAGGAAAGCTATAAAACCTCAAAATGAAGTAGATTAATACCCAAAAATAAAAATTAACACCATAATGTGAAAGTTTTCCTCTTGGATATTTAATTTGATAACAAACATTCCATGTTGTTATACTTGACGCAACACAATGGTAAACTAAATATTTCACAATATTCAACATTAGGTAATTAGGAAAATGAACAATAGTTATTTGATAGCATTTTCACATATTTTAGTACTCCTAATGTTAGTGTTTAGTTAATATCATAGAAATAATAAAACAATTGAAATTCTTTCTTTAACATAATCTTGAATTTCAATTTGAATAATAATTTTGTATTCAAAGAGAAGTTACTATTCAAATAAAAACCATATATAAGTAAGCTGATAATTTAAAATTAAAACTAAACACAATTTATAGAATCAAAAGTTTTTGCAAAATTGTTTTCGGTCTCATCAAATCTATTGATACTCAATTAACTAAAGATCAGATATTATCATTTTTTAATCATTGTTACTCATTATATTATACTATATCATTATCACACCTATAATATTTGTTTTGATTGTTACTTAAAATATATTGTATTATATTATTGAATTTCGTTATCACATAACAATAGAAACCTCCATTTTATGGAACAATTGATTTGGTGTATTTCATTGTTACTTAATTACTTTTTTCAATTAGAGCATTTCATAATATGTCATAATACTTTTGTTTACCCTTTACTCTGTATTATTTAATTCTAGTCAAACTTTATACGCTAGAATGATAAGGATATTTTAATAAATTTATAAATTATAATAGAGCAGGATATCATCAAACCAAATAATAAAAATATTATTAACAACAACAAACATTACAGTCTAACCAAATATTATATATCCACCATATATACAGTATGATACAATACAATGCAGTACATTATGAAACAATAGGTAAAAATAATCCAATCAAACTGTAAAACTTAAATGATTAGGACCATTTTATTCGATCCATATCGTATGCGATTTATTATTTTACTTATATTTATTCGAGTGGATTACAATTAAATTCATTTTCAATTCGATCAAATCAATCAAATTCGTCTATTTGCCATTACAATTTCTCTCGTTTAAAAAAACTCTATTACGATAACAACAATAATATATATGTATTCAGTGAAATCGTACAAGTTTTGAGAGGATAAAATACATGCAAATTTTATCATTTTCACACCTACTGAGATAATTAGACAGATTATTTTCAAAAGACACTCTACTCAAGTTCAATAAATCTAAATATAAAAACGATAAGAGAAAATCTACTTTTATATAAGGGAAAAGGGTTTGAAATACCCCTCAACTTTGTCATTTAGAGCTGATACACCCCTCGTTATAAAAGTAGCTCATATATGCCCTTACCGTTATACAAACGGCTCACATATACCCCTGCCGTTACAAAATGACTCACATATACCCTTCATTTGACGGAAATTCAAAAATTAGTTTTAAATTTATATTTGTTACTTCTAATTTTTTTTTAAAAAATTATTTAGGGGTATATATGATTCTTTATCAAAGTTCAAGATATATTTTAATTTTTTTCATACATAAATTAATTTTTGACTTCTTTTATTATAATTATTTGAGTTTCTTATTCTTATTTTGTTTTTTCTTTCATTCCTTCGTTTAAAGAAAAAAAAGTTTAAACTATTTTTTTGTGTGTATTGTAATTTAATTTCGTATTCGAAGAAAAAATTTGGTCATCTATATTAAGTTTTACAAGAATATTAGTGAAACATAAATAAATTTGATTATCAAAATAATAATTATAAATTAGTCATTAAAACAAAAAAAAAGTCAAAAAAAATATGTTTGACAAGGATTAAATTTACTCATATGGGATTATATTTTTTAGAAAAAAATAATAAAATTTTAGATTAAAATTATTATTTTTTTCATTTCCGTTAGAGGAATATATGAGCCACTTTTATAACGAGGGGTATATCAACTCTAAATGACGAAATTGAAGGATATATCAGACTCTTTTCCCTTTATAAAATATAGCCAATCAATATTAGTAAGATTAGTGAATTTCGAATATCGGATAATTTTTGTTCAAACTCTTTAACTTCCTACTATTCTTTTGTTCCTCATTTGACTCGTACTGTATAATAAAACGCCAAATCCTTTTCTTCCGAAACGTTTCCTACAGCGCTGCAAATAAATCCAAAAAAATCCTGAGTCCTTTTCTCTCCTCTTTCAGTAATAAAACCAAAAGCATCATATCAATTTCACAGCTTTTTCAAATTTTCTCGGAAAAATTCACTGTTTGAAGATTCAAGTTCCATTTCGTCACGTTGTGTTGATGCTGTATTTTCTCGGAAAATTTCAGTGTTTGAGGTTCAAACTCTAGATTATAATGCTGTATTTTCTAGGAGAATCGGATTTTTTGTAATTTTAGTGCTGGATTGTTCTGTTTTTAATTTTTTTCATATTTTTTTTTTCGATGGATGTTTGTGATTTTGTTGGCGGTGTGAAAGTGGAGGATAATGCAGTGATTGTGAAACTCTGGAGTTTGAAATGCGTTGCGAAGGTTTTTCGTGTTGTTGAGTTTTGTTTTGTGGTTTTTTTGTTGTTGTGGATTTCCTCTCGTTTGCCTTTTGCGGTGAGGATTTCCGGCGAGTATTTCCGTCAAATCGTCGGTTTAATACTTAGTCCTGTTTTCATTTTCATCCTATGCAACTTCATTGTCCTTATTCTCCTCTTGAAGTCCGGTCTCCATTCCGGAAACTCTTCGATTTTTCGGAATGTCGCCGGAGCTGAAGTTCTCTATGACTCGTTTCTCAAAAACACAGAGTTTTCAGCTGTTTTTTCGTCCGGGAACTCTTCTCTGGTACCGGAAATTGAAGTTCGAGGTATTGTTTATGAAGACAAACAGACGATTTTTGAAGAGAACACAGTGACTAATCAGGAATCATTCGGTTCCGAAGAACTAGAAACGGTTATAAACAAGGCATTGACGAAACCGAAAGTTCCGAGGAGAACTCAATCGGAAAAGCTGAATGAGGAAAAAGTGGAGGAAATTTCCGTCAAATTCCGGAGATCGGAGACAGAGAAATGCCGGAAAGTGACAAATCCCGGCGATTCTGCTCATGAAGTAGACGAATTAAGTAACAAAGAGTTTCAGAAAGCCATAGAAAACTTCATCGCAAAGCAAACCAAATTTCATCAACAAGAGAAATTGGCCATTGTACTCCATAGCCAAGCTTAACAACTTCAATAATTTTGCAGAAAATTAGTTTTATTCATAAACAACAGCAACCGTTGATTTGGTATCGAAGAAGAGAGTACTGATTGATCTGAACCGTTGGTAATTGCAGGAAGATGAAGATTCGAGAAAGTTCCATATTGACATGCATGCAGTGCTTTGATCGCTGGTTTTTAGCTTCAGAGATTAATTAGAAAGGTACTATTGATTAGCTTTCTACGTTTGTATTCTCGAAGTAAATTTCCACTAGTTATTGTCAAAAGTGAAATTTCTCTTTTATTTTACCATAGTTAAGCAATATTATTTTCGTAATTCAAAACAAAGACATTAAACCAAAAGAATACTTATATTCTATCTTAATCTTGATAATATAAGATAAATTGTGCATTGGATAATTTATACGAGTTCGGAGTCTAAACGATGAAAATATTGATAAAAATTTCAAAATTGTATATGAATTTTTTTTTAACCAAATCTCAAAATCGCTGACAAATTAGTGATTTTGTTCGCCGAAAAAGCTAAATCAGCTAAATCGCTGCTATAAATTTGATTTTTTTTTTTAAAAAAAGGTTTTTCTAAACAAAAGTGATTTTTAATAAACAATTTTTTTAATAAATTGTTGCCTTGACAGCGATTTAACGTGAATTATTTTTTATTATTTATTTGCTATTTTAAAAGAAGAAAAAAAATGAAATCGCTGCCAATATAGCGATTTTGGTACAACATTAATTTGTTTTATTTTTTAAATTTAATGTGTACGTACACATCATAATAAATAAAAAATTAAAACGAAATTATTGTCAAAGCAGCAGTTTTGATATAATTTTTTTAAAATATAATGTGTACATACATAACCATAATAAATAAATAAAATTAAAATGACCATAATAAATTTAAAAAATAAAATAAAATAAAAAATAACAAATAAATAATAATAATGAAATTTCATGTTAAATCGCTGCCAGCACAGGGATTTATTAAAAAATAAAATTGTTTTTAAAAATCGCTACCTTGGTAGCAATTTGTTTAATTTTTTTTAATAAAAATCAAATTTTGCAAATAACAGCAATTTTGCTTTTTTGGCGAACAGAATCACTACTTCATTAGTGATTTTGCCGTTTTGGTTTTTAAAAAAAATCATATACCATTGTAAAATTTTTGTCAAACATTTTTCACCCTATAGGCCCCGGACTCTAATTTATACCATTCTTTTGAGTTCAAAGAGAAAGGCAAATCACATAGCTTTTATGTGTTCATATTGTATCTTGAATTCTTTAATAATATCGTATTTTTTTAAAAAAATTAACTTGGATACAATTAACCTATACATAAAAAGAAAAAGACATAATACATATATTAAATTTTAAATTTGGCTTCAAATTCTAACTTTGTCCTCCAACTTTCATTCTGCACAAACAAGCACTTTAACTATTCAACTTTTAAATAAATAAACACGTGAATTCTAAATGACAAAATATACGTAGGACACCACGTTGGACAAAAAATGACATATAGGATGACATGTAGGACATGTGTGTCTATTTGTTCTACTTTATATAATTTAAGTGTCTACTTGTGCACACCCAAAGTTGAAGGGTATAAATATAATTCGAAACCAAGTTAAATGACATAATTATGTATTAAAAACAAATGAATTAGAGAATATAATTGCATTATATGATCATGAGCGGCTCAAATATATCAGTGGCCTAAAGCAAAAATCAAATGCGGCCTTAAATTTCAATTGTTAATAACTTCTATTTAATTGATTTCTTCTAGTTTTCAATTGATAATATAATCATTCTTATTTTAAATTATTTTTCATGAGATATAGTACTTCAAATATACCAAATTTCTTCTAATAATTTCTTCATTTTCATGAGTAGTCATATCTTTTTTTTAACACTATTAAGTCACCCCTATATATGATTTCAGTTAAACAGATCGAGTAAATTTAATTTAATGTAACATGAAGTTTATTAGGCAAAAAAGCTTCTCCGTACCTAAATTCGATTAGCTTAATTAAACTATGTACGTCAATTATTTATTAATTTGAAATTCACATATTTTGAAACTCATTTTTAAAAAAAAGAATTATCAATTAAATTGAGATATATAAAATATATATGTATATACGCATATATCGAGATAAGTAACCTTTCGTGTAATGGGATATGAAAGTGATTTTGTAAGCAACCTTTTACCTTTTTCCATTTTGGATGACTTTGGATTTTTTAATACATCACATGAAAATATAGCATGCCACATTATAAATTACACGTATTATTTTTTTATTATTATTTATTTTAGTTACTATTTGCACATTTAGGTAATATGTACTTAATTTTATCACATGTTAAATTATGAACTATTTTAATTTATAATTTTTTTATATCATTATAAAAATGTAAAGAATCATATTCAAATCCTCATTGAACATTATAACTTTTTTTTCATTTATTATTTAATATCCACGTTGAAGTCTGATTAAATTTGAATTCGTTAAAAAGTCTTACAATAAGGGGTAAAGACTAACGCACTTCCTAATAAAAGTGACTCCATATACCTTGGGACTCGAAACACATAGTTAAAAATATACTTTCCTCTTTGAATTAAAGATAAAGAATTACTTATTATTTTCGATCAATCGAAACAAATTGAACGAGATATAATATATTATACGGAAAGAACAAGTAGTTGGTCTCTCAAGAATAATTATTAGTAGTGTTGCAGGTTGCAAAAGATATTTGATGTTTTGAAAAGACAAATGAAATTATGAGATTTTAGCTCTAAAAGGAAGCATGGGCATTTGAGAATAATTATATATGGATTAAGCCTAATCCATAGGTAATTAATACACATGCTCGATAAAGTCAACAAACTTAATAATGATTTGTTACAAGATTAAGAAATGACATGACATTTTTCATTGTTTTACCACACTATAATTAGAATTAGTTGATGAAGTAATAACAAACTCAAAGTCCATTCTTGTTATTAAAGACTCATCATTGCTATAGTAAACATAGAGTTTCACATTAAATAAAATACAAGATGAATTACGTTAATAATCCCTTAAACTTAGTAGCATATTTTATTTAGACCATCGTACTATAATTTCAAATTTTAATTGAATACCTAAATATATGATATAATAATGGAAAAATTATTTAAATACAGGTTGTATACTTTTCTTATTTTTAATATTCCCTTTTATTTTTAGAAACCTCTAAATTTCGTTATTTCTTTTCTAATTTTAAATTATTTTATAATGTAACGATCTAGCTTTTAATTAATGTATTCAAACTTTATATTATGTATTTAATTTATAATGTATCCGAGCTAGTTTTTAATGTATTCGAGCTACATATTGTGTATCCGGTTTGTTTTACTTTTTCAAGAATTAATGTAATTATAAACTAAATAGGAATAGATTGTAATTTCATATTAAAACTATGTGATTTCTAAAATTTATGCTACGATGATTGTATTAGTTAGAGACTTTCGACTTCAATTTTTATGGGGAAAAAATTCATATATGAATTATTCTATTTCCATCTTTCTATGCATATCCTCAAGTGTTTATTACATGGATAAGTTAACTATTAAAAATTTATTAGTTCTTTTAATTATAGGCGTTAGTCTCAATAAGTCATAAAACTATACACATATCCTATTGAGGCTAATGTATATAATTAAAGGTTACATTTTATATATAATTATTTTACTCAACGTAATAAACACTTAAGACTATATATATTTTTAAAAAATAATTGGATATAAAGTACTTATAGAAACATATTATTATGTTTACAAATACTCCATTAAAACATGTCATAATTTAAACATTAAATTTAAAATATACTATACTAGTAAAATTTTAAAAGTTATCCATGTATTTTGTTGGAAAAGAAAAAGTATCCCCTAGGTAATCAAATGTTATTTCATCCATTCATTTTTGTTTCTCGTGTTGCATTCGAAAGTCTATTCGATTAATTTTTAACGTTTAATTAGATTATATTAATTTAATATTTTTTTTTAAAATTAAATATTTAAAAATTATACGAGAAGTATTATAAATTACAACTTTTTATATATATTAATATGACTAAAGATATATACCAAAATATGTTAGTCAAAATACGTATATTATGACTTTTAAAATGTAAATTATGACAACAAAAAGTTAGAGGAAGGAGTATTACTAAACCAAGACTTGCACCCATAAGTAGAGGTACCCCACTTGAAGAAGGTGTGCTTTTAACTTTCCCCAAAACGAGAATTCCACAAAAAGGGAAAAAAATGAAAAAATATCAATGGTGTTTCTAGTGGATAAATAAAATAAAACAAATATAACCAAATTCTTAGTAAAACGGCCAAATATATAAATAAATCTCTGAATTCGTTGGATCTTTTTCTTCATGTACTTAACTATGTTATTTTCCTATTGAATCATTGAACCACCTATAATTTGTTCTTTTCAAATATATATCATTGACTGATGTGAAAACAGATTATGTGATCATTAGTCTAATTGATAGTGAAAATTTTTTAGAATTCTTGTGTTTTACTTCAAGTCATTTGAACACATTAGAAAACAAATGAGATTCACACAGTTTGTCTTCATTCCTTCAATCAAAACCATTACAATACAAATACAATTGAATGCATTTACAATAGAAAAGTCTATCAAAATCAACCAACAATGTTTAAAAGGAACAAATTATGGGTGGTTCAATGATTCAATAGGAAAATGATGTAATTGAGATACCTGAGAAGAAAACCCCAATAAGCTTAGAAATTTGTTTATGAATTCGACCTTCGTAAAACAAATACAGGCATGCATGATATGATGTCTCATTACTTTCACTATGTCTAAATCTCCAAAAAGAATTCATTCAATCTTCATTGGAAGTTATAAATAGAAGAAAAAACCAAGTGGATCGACTATTTGAATAGTCATTTTATTTGTGAGATTGATTCTCAATTATTTTACCTCAATTCCAAGGAAAAAAAGAAAAAGAACCAGAGTTGAAATTAGACATTATTTTATTGGTTTTATGTAAAAGTTTAAGCCATGATATCAGATTAGATGCACATCATGAATTCAAACTTTTTTTCTATCGATAAAAGATGGTGGAGTAATATTTAAGTAGCATAGGA